GAAAACTTTTTTGCTTCAGCCAATAAAATATCTAAATGTAACTCATTTCGTAATTCTGACAGTTTCCTAGCACAATTATCAACTATAGTTAATGCAGTGATGAAATCCAATGATGGTGATAGTAAATATATGGATAATGGACTTGTGTGCTTAAAGATATTTTTCATTAATAACAAATGTGTAACAAACTTGAATGAAGAAATAGTAGACARTAAATTTGTTGCCATTGAAGATGTATCACGTTCAGTTGAGTTTGATAACTCTTGTAATGTATTATTAAGTGCTTTATATTTTTCAAATATAACTKTCAAAGCACGGTCGTGAGATGTCCAGCGTGTAGAAGAAAAAATTTTCATTCTACAAATTCTTTCTTCTGGATAACATATTTTTTGTTGGTTTAAAAATATTGCAGCACGTTTTCTTGCTCTTAAAAAAGCTATCAATGATTGTAAATCTCCAAAAAAATTTCTCATAGTCTTACTTGTATCACAAGTGTCTACCACRACAAGATTTAAAATATGAGAAAAACACCAGACATATATTGCCCTAGGATTTTTTTCTTGGATATATGCACGAACACCAGAGTATTGGCCTTGCATCGAAGATGCTCCATCATATGATTGTGCACACAGTTGATTTTCCCAATCAATATCATATTTTTCACAAATATAACACAAAACGTTAAACATACCAACACCTCTTGCGTCTGATACATTTTCTAAGGCAACTAATCTTTCTTCTACTTCTTCATTTTCATTTATAAACCTAATTACTAATGAAAGTTGTTCTATATTAGAAACATCTGTTGTAGTATCTATAATGGACGAAAGTACTCCAGATTTTTAATTCTGAATAAAATATTTTCCCGAACCATTTCACCAAGAACACGGAGCATATTATTTTGGCTTTGATTGGATGAAAACGTTAGTCGATTTTTTTTTTTAGTTTTGAATTTTTGTTAAATGAGACGAAAGTGTTGGGTTATATTTTGAGATAAATTTAATCAATTCAATAAAATTGCCTTGATTATTTGATGTCCAAGACTCATCATGGCCTCGAAACGCTATATTTTGACGAGCAAGGTAGATAAGCGTCTCAAAAATTACTTTAACAATTTCTCTTTTTTCCTCAACAATTCTGCTTGAAGTTTCAAAAGTTGTACTAACTACTCTTTGATTACTTACAAACATAGCTCTTCGAATTTCAGACTCTAAATGGGCACTATTTGATTCATGTGATTTAAGCTTGAATGAAATATGGCTCCA